TTGTCCAGTTTCACAAGTTCTAGCTCCATTTTATAAGTCTAGTCTTTACAGTAGCACCATCAAAGGTTTGAGTTACCTCTCTACTCAGGTCTTCCAAGTAGGCTTCTATCTTCCTACCTGGTTCCCTTGATTTACATGGCCTAAGGACTTATTTTGGGTTCACACCACCTGATACCAGTTTGTGTTCCCTCATGCAATGTTATACGAGTGCCTTAAACCTTTCAGTCATGCTAGTATAACACAGATTACAGGTATTCTATCCCAACCAATCACAGAAGACAGTTAGCCATAACACAAGAAGAATTGCAAATTTTCACCGTCACTGGGATTTGAACTCTAGACCTGCCTCTTGGAGGTTGACAACTTATCTACTTCACTAGGTCACCACACCCCTCATTATATTATGTTACAAAATTGCATTTATATCTTTATGACTATGGGATTTAAACTAATTTGGTAAATTCGAATTTTTTTTTTATTGCTATTTTATTTTTTTGGTTATCTTTTATTTATTTTATAATACTTACTTTCTCTGCAAAATATTTTTAAATATTTTCAGAATGTGCAGCTACAATTTTTTTTAGTAATTTTTAACAGTCTTATAACAAACTGTAATATCTGCATTATGCAATGCATTAATTGCATCACAGGAAGCACCAGATGCAACTAAATACAATCCAATTTCTAAAGGATAGTTATTTACAAGTCTATTATATATTGCCACAATTGAGTAACATATATTGGCTACATTTTTTTTATCTTTCTTTTTATTAAAAGCAGATTATCTTTTTGGAATAAATGTGTTATAAAGCTCATTAAAAAATCTTACTAATTATGGTTCAGCATTCTTAAGTATTGTTTGAAAATGATTTGAAATTAATTCTAGTATGTTATATTCAATTCTTTGTTTTTCATATAACACTCTAGTCATTAAAGAAATTTTTTTTCCAAATGATAATGGTTTTTTAATGATTATATAATCTTGCTTATTATTATCAGCTAATGATCCATTATTATGATTAGGTTCAACAATCTTAAGATAATGAGGATAGCACAATTGCTTTCCAACTTCTAAATAATTATACTGATTATAAGTGCCTTTTTCTTTTGCTTTTCTTAGAACATATTCTGTAATTCTGCAATATTGATTTGGTTTAATCTGACAATTATTAACAGAACAAGGGCTGAGATTTTTTTTAAGCATAACTTGTAAAAATTAAAAAAAAAATTTAAATTTTAAAATTTTAATTCTTCGAAAATAGCATATTTATTTTATTAAAAATTGAATTTTTTTATTACATATTATTAAAATAGTTTGTGCTACTAATTAATACTACAAAATGCATTACCTCTAAAATACTTTAACTAGGTACATAAAGAGCCACCTAATAACATTCAACTTATTTATAAAATATAAGATTACATTTGTACAATTTATATATAAAAATATTTTTTTATATATATTGGATTAGTCTTCAAGACTGGATGGTAGATTAAAATTTTGAGCAATTCTTCATCTAATAATATAATTACAAATTTTACTTTTTTATTCATAAGCTCAAAAATAATAAATAATGTATTATAATTTTAAGTAAAGCTACAAATATTTTATTTTTCGGATTCTTTGCAATATACCATCTATAGTAAACTATTATGTTATTGTACATCATATTAATATAATTAATTAGGTGCCCTTTCTTGTAGCATATTTATATAACTACGATTTGGCATTTTTATTGGCCAATTAATCATATGACATAATTTTGAGTTTGGTGTAATGTTTACATGTAGATCACAAATGTTGGCAAATCAAAACCAATTTCCATTATGCTATTTTATTATGCTAACCAACTTTCAGCTTCTAATTAAAAATGTTTAACATTAAAATTTATATATGGCACTTATTTTTTTTTATCAGATATAGATAGAATACTTAAGATACTTCAACCCAAATATTTAACTAGAAAGGTCTGATTTTTGCTTAATATAAAAATACCTAACAGATTCTCGATTTATTGATGATAAAAAAATTTGACTAGAATTATTCAAAATTTTACTAATAAAAGCACAGCCATTCATTAAATAAAAATTGGTTCTAGGCTAATTTTAATATTTTGTGATTTTTTTTTAAAAATTTCTATTTTGAGAATAAAAAGGTTAAAAAACTTAATTCTGGTTAGAAATTAGTAAACAGTTATATAATGTGGGTCGAAATTTTGCAGATCCACATCTATTAGTCAATCAAAATCAAGAAATTGAGAAAATGACAATGTGATTTTATTAAAAAAATTGGTTCACAATTTAGTTTAGGTTCATAGACAAAATATTGAGCTATGAGCATTTTTTTTGTTGATTTGATTTTTTTACAATTTTTTGAATTATATAAGATCTTGAAATCTGATTGACCAATGAAATTTTTGTAAAATGCTGTAATACCATAATCCAATAATTCTACCACTAACTATAGCTCTAACCCTATATTTATATATAACATATATATAATTATGTTGTCATATATATAATGTTTATTATCTTTTACTATTATAGATAAATAACTAAGGTTTAAAACTAGCTAAAGAGCATCAGAAAATGATTTTTAATCATAATAATGTTAATGAACTACTTACATATATATGTTTTTTAATGAAATGTTAAAGAGAAAAAAAACAATAATTTAATAATAAATTTATTTAAAATTTAAATTAAAACTTTTATGTTTATTTACATGAATAATATTAATAAATAGAT